TTGGATTCCAAGCAATTTGATTGGGTCGTAGCTTCATAGTGACCTCAACAGAAAAATGCATAGAATACCGTAGTTAAGGTCAACAAACAAATACCTTTGTCAATGGTACAGCCTGTCGTGTATCAATCACAAATATGGAGCGATCACTGCATGCACCCACCAGAACTGCTTCCTCAATTGGATTTGCACGTATAGTGTGAACGGTGTCATGTCCAACATCGTACTCTCGTATCCTTTTGTTCCTACGATCGGATACTAGACCATCCAAGGAAACGTGGAAGACACAACTAACCCTTGAGCTCCCCACACAGTGACGCCATCACCACAGGTGACAAACTCGGAGGAGTTAGCCAGGTGAGAGACAGCATGGGCAACGCCTGAGAGAATATATTTTACAGATGGACTATTGGAGATCATCGATCGTGTATGAAGCAACTAGCAGCGTTTCATGACATACACTTGAGTTGTATTGGACCAACAAAACGACCCCGAGTTCCCCGACCCCTGACACAAACTTTCAGAAAACTCCTGTCGATAAATTTAGAAGAATCGCTAGGGAAAAATCAAACTCGAAAACAAAATTAGAAAAGTACTTTTGTGAATACTTCAAGAAGAATTGTAAAAGAAACTTGCAACCAATTTAGCCATCGCGGAAAATGAGAAAACGACCGAAAGTCTGCACACTAACCGTCAAGATTTATTGTATCCGTTTGCTTGCAGATGACTCCACCTACAGTGTTTGAAGTATGCGGTAGTCTCCATCGATTTATAGTGCAATCTTGACCAACAGTCACGAAATTATTGCCTGCGGCGACATCAATGGAAATGCCTAAAAAGGTAGGGTGAAAATATGCATAACAGATTAACGCTTACAGGAGAAGACAGTGAGGTGAGACACAGATCAAACTCTAACGTGACAGAAATGAATGAAAATTCTTGCGTAACTAGAAAAAGCAAAAATCGGAACAGATGATTTTGCATACCAACCGTTAACCGGCCCGTTGTGTGTCTGAAAAGTTGCTAAACAGTGCCGCCTTGCCAGAGCCCATACTTTCACTTGACCATCTCGAGCGCCAGACAAGACGATGGATGGTCGATCTGAAAAACATGCCGTCTTCTATGATATCACGTGATCAACAAACAATCAGAAAAGCTTTAAAGGCAGCGGCTCGGCAGAATTTCGTTTTCCAGTT